GACTTATACAGCGAAGCAACATATTTATGTTTTTCCCCAATTTTTGGCTGAGATCTGACAATTTCATTCATTCTGACATGGAAAATATTGAACACTGCCATTTTCAGCTGCTACAGGGCCCTCGACCAATATGACAAACCAAGTGTCTCATTAATAGGTAAAAGTGGTTATTAATGAGACACTTGTCTTGCCATACCAAGCCACCTTCGTCTCGCTCCTGAACTCCTGGAGCAAACGTCAAATCAGCTGCAGTTCGCTGCGCCGCCAGGAGAAATGCAGCTCATTTCACCATTGAAGTGCATTTATTAAAGAAAAGTTCAACTGAGTCACACCTTTACTATAATTTTGAGCAAACAAATAATTGTTTTTAAGTGTTAATCTTGTTAAAGTCCTCCCGTGCATGTTCCCATGGCATCTATTTGGCAGCCAATCGATTTTTGGCACAACACCGGCCCACATTTCTGGGTGGTCAGAGGTGACGCGTAACAGTTGTGACTTATACGGTGAAGTGACTTATTTATGTTTTTTTCCACTTTATTATACATTTTTGGACTGATGCTAGGTGTACGGCGGCAAGTTTAATAAAGCATCGTAAGAGCCAGGTCTCTGACCGTTAACAGCATTTAGACACACATTTACCTGCAGTTGGGGTTTGGTAGATGTACGTAGGAGAGGCCTTGTTAGTTTCACCTCCTGAACTTTGCACTTCCTTGTAGCTGATGAGGGACTGCTGGGAGATTGGGATCAAGTATCCAGCTGGTACTAACGTCTGAACAGGCAGAGGAACAAACTGGTGCTGAGTCAAAGCTCTTTAACGTTTCTCTCCACTGGAGCTGGTTAGGCTGCGTGCTGGTGTGTTTACCTCAGTGTGGACCTGTCCAGGTGTGAGAGGAACCACTCGGACCGGCGTGAGACTCGCCTCACTGTCAGAGTTAGCAGCCTTGTCCTCTTTGTCTAAAAGGTTCTCCAAGCTCTGCTCCAGGGTCTGATTGGCTCCAGAGCCCTCAGGGGTGTTAACAAATTCTGGGTCCAGGTGGAGGGCGCGAGGGGAGGGTCGACTGGTGAGCTGGACGCCACGACAAGCCTTCAGACGGGCCTGCAGGATCTCACAGAGCTTTGGAGAGGTGTCCTAGATGAGAAGCACAGAGACATTGAAGATCAGGCTCGTGCTGTTACTGGGTCTTAGCAGCTTCTGTTTTTCAGCTCATAATCTTGATGAGATCCAACATTTATAGCTGTTATGTTTAGATTTTGCTGAGTCAGCATTCACACTATTGCTATCCTGATTTTGGTCTGCAAGTCTTTTGCCAAGAAACTACTTCTGCATACAGTGCTGCTTGAACGTTTGTAAACTCTTTATAATTTTCTATATTTCTGCATAAATACTGTACGACCTAAAACATCATCAGATTTTCATACAAGTCCTAAAAGTAGATCAAGAGAACCCAGTTAAAGAAATGAGACAAAATCTTATACATGGTCATTTATTTATTGAGGAAAATGATCCAATATTAAATATTAGTAAGTGGTAAAAGTATGTGAACCTTCAGGATTATCAGTTAATCTGAAGGTGAAATTAGAGTCAGGTGTTTTCAATCAGTGGATGATGATCAGGTGTGAGTTTCACCCTGTTTGATTTAAAGAACAGGATCTATCAGAGTCTGATCTTCACAACATGTTTGTGGAAGTGGATCATGGAGGAACAAAGGAGATTTCTGAGGAGCTCAGAAAAACAGTTGTTGATGCTCATCAGGCTGGAAAATGTTACAAAACATCTGTAAAGAGTTTGGACTCCACCAATCCACAGTCAGACAGATTGTGGTCAAATGGAGGAAGTTCAAGAACTTTGTTTCCCTCCCCAGGAGTGGTGGACCAACTAACATCACTCCAAGTTGTGTAATAGTCTGTGAGGTCACAAAGGAGCCAGGGTAACTTCTAACAACTGAAGGTCTCTCTCACATTAATGTTGATGTTCATGAGTCCACCATCAGGAGAACTCTGAACAACAATGGTTCATGGCAGGTTGAAGGAGAAGACACTGCTCTCCAACAAGAACATGGCTGCTCGTCTGCAGTTTGAGAAAGATCACGTGGACAAACCAGAAGACTGTTGGAAGAATGTTTTGTGGACAGATGAGACCAAAGTAGAACTTTTTGATTTAAATAAAAAGAGTTCCGTTTGGAGAAAGAACAACTCTGCATTCCTGCAGAAGAACCTGATCCCATCTGTGAAACATGGTGGTGGTAGTATCATGGTTTGGACCTGTTTTGCTGCATCTGGGCCTGAACAGCTTGTCATCATTGATGGAACAATGAATTCTGAATTATATCAAAGGATTGTAAAGGAAAATGTCAGAACATCTGTCCATGAACTGAATCTGAAGAGAAGGTGGTCATGCAGCAACAACGATCCTCAGCACACGAGAAGTTCTACCAAAGAATGGTTCAAGAAGAATAAAGTTCATGTTTTGGAAAGGCCAAGTCAAAGTCCTGACCTTAATCCAATCCAGATGTTGTGGAAGGACCTGAAGCAGCAGTTAATGTGAGGAAACCACCAACATCCAGAGGTGAAGCTGTTCTGTACAGAGGAACGGACTAAAGTTCCTCCAAGGTGATCAGGACTGATCAACCGTTACTGGAAATGTTTAGTTGAAGTTATTTCTGGGGGGGGGGGGGGGTTGCTGGGGGCACACCAGGTACTGAAAGCAAAGGTTCACATACTTTTACCATAACAAATGTGTAATATTGGATCATTGTCCTCAGTAAATAAATGATCAAGTATAATCAAGTTTTAGCTTCAAATTTTAAGTAATCAACATTCATGGTGCATTTTTATAGTAATTGTTTTGTTTTGTTTTGTTTATTTTTTACCTTAAAGCTGGGGTCCAACCTCTTGGCTTTAGAGGGGCTGTTATCTGAAGCTGAATCAGAGCGCTGACGTTTCAAGGCAGATGGACTGCTGTCAGACTGCTGGCAGACCGTCTGGCTCTGAGCTGCAGATGGGCTCTGCCCAGTCTTGTCCTCAAAGGTCATGGAGCGCACGGCCAGGCTCGATGGCTGCGGCCTGGACAGAGGGTTTGACCTGAGGGATGAGGGGTGCACGTACACAGCGTAGGGTCCACTCCCGCGCTGCTGCGGTAGCAGAACAGGGATTAGAGAGGAACACTGCGCAGGGAGGAAGGTGACAGAGCGAGCGGGCGGTCCTGCCAGCGATGTTTGGGGGTTCAGGTGGATAGTGTTGGCTCCAGACTCCTGAGCTGGTGTTAACACATGCACCTTAGGTTGATCCATGGAATGAGAAGAAGCTTGTTGTAACCTCGTAGCTGCTGCATCTCCCTTACTAGCAGCACGTTTCAGATTCGTTGTGGGCCTGAAACAGAAACAGGACTTCTGTTTACCACTAAACAGACAAAAGCATCTTTTTTGAAAACAGTGATTGACATGGAGACATTTTTGTTGTTATGAACAGAAACATCTCTTACTAATGCTCTATTTACACGGACACGGTGGGGAAACGTAGGTTTTTCGTATGTTAGAGGAAAAGATCCGCGTCGACGGACAAATTCTGTGTTTACATGCAACCGGAGGAATCTCCCCCCGCCCTCCCGAATCCGCTGTAGTTACCATGCCGGGTCATAATAAAAGATAAATAGAACTTTATTGATCCCGCAGGAAATGATTGTCATTAGTTGGCGCTGTGAATTTTGTACCTTCACCTAATGTGCATGTGTGCCATCTCAGCTCGCTCCTGTCCTCTGGGCTAAAAGTTCAGCTAACAACAAGTTAACAACAAGTTAAAGCTGGATTTTGGATAAGAGTGGACAGATTTGATGCCAAGCAGGACCGCTTCATCTAACAGCTCCACACCGGTCGCTGAGTGGACCAGAACCGAGTCGTCGATGATGATGTCGGACTTTCTACTCCGTGGTAATCAGTAGCTGATTTACAGCAGATAAATCAACGTTCTTAATAATGTTTGCTTGTGTTTACTTTGATCACACAACAACAGAGTTTTTATTTGTATTTTTCCTGCGAGGAGAAGCTGTTCTCCCACCAGAGACGGACCGGTTCTGAACGAGCCTCCGCCCAGGTGCAGTGCAGGAGGACGTCGAAGAGAGAGATGTTGGATGAACTATTTATTTAAAATTCCCCTCATTTCTTTTTTTCCAATCCATTGACTGTTTTAAGATGCATTAATCAAATGAGTGACAGCCTGAACAAGCCAGATGAACAACATGGGACCAGTATCCAGGATGAAAACAGAGCAGAGTCCAGTTCATGTAGTTTACAGTTCAGTTAACGTGATTTTAATAGTGTGTTCAGTTTAATTATCAGTGTTTGTGTGACATACAGTTTGTGGTGTTGAATAACTAAATAAAAATTAAACCTGACGTCTTCATTTTCAACTTTAATAACACACGTTTTACATTATTTAAATCATATAACTTGAGTCCAGATAGCTTCAGTTAGCTCAGATAACTTTATTATACTGTAAATCTGTCACACTAACATTAATACTGTTTATTATTGTTAAACTGTTATTATTTAGCACATTTTGTATGTTATAGTGCAGCGCGACACGTGAAATATCCGCCTGCCTCGTTCAATGAACAGCAATATCAGAACTGGATCCGGCTGGTGTCTCTTCCAACACAGACGTCGCTCACAGCAGCTGCATTCAGGTGTAGATTAATAAAATATGAGACTCAAAATATATTCCATCAGTCGTAGTTCAGAAAGCAGTGTGTCCGCCGCCATGTTGTTGATAGAAATATGCTGTCCATCCACACGTGTGTGTGCACGTGGTTTAACACAAAACCTCAGCAGGAGATGTTTACATGATCAGTGGGTGATCAGCCGAAAACCTCCACTCTGGGAGGTGGGTTCAGAAACCTCCAGATCCAAAGATGGGGGGCTACTGGTGTCGTGTGAACAGCAGAACCGCAGAGAGAAAGGAGCGGATTCACTCAAAATATGTGCTGTGTAAACGGCCCTTAAAGCAAAGAAGAGTTCAACCAGAACAGGAGTGCCCAATATGTTGATCGCGATCTACCGGTCGATCGCGAAGCAATTTGATTTTATTAGCCGGACCAAGTAAAAAGCAGCAAACCTACCATTTCCACACGGACTGGCGGGAGGCGTCCCCCTCCCCCCCCACGTCATATCTGAAGTGCGTATGCCTCATCTACAAGTGTACCAGAGCGGTATTTTCAGACTATTCATAAAAACTATGACACTGACTTCCTTCTGAAAAATGAGCTGAGAAAGAAAATGTTGAAGGAACTAAAATCCCAGATATCTGGACAGCGGGTGAATCACTTAATAATTAATTGTTAAGCACAAGAACTCTTTTCAAGACGGAGAGATGATTAAAGAGTTTTTAGTTGAAGCAGCTGACTCGTTGCTCAGAGACGTTAAAAACAAACCAGAAATATTATCTTCACCAAAGCTCTCAGGGATGAAGAACTACAGTTACAGTTAAAGCAGCTGCTGTCAGGGCTGAAGTTTCACTTTTGTTCTCAAGTTCTCAGGTTAGTTTTCAAACATGAAGTTATTCTTGTTGTTTTCAGTTCCTATGCATGAAGAACAGAAGTCATTGCTGAGTTTTGTTTATTATTTTGTACGCAGACAGTAAAAATATATTGCCACTTTTTTTCTCCAACAAACTTTTGGGTTTTGTCATTTGTCGGTCTGAGTGGGCCATGTTCCGCTCCTCTATTGTCGAGGCGACTTATCGGAGCTGTGGCCGCAAGGCTGTCTGTGCTTGTCGCGGCGGTAACACTCGAATCCGGTGGTGGACACCGGCAATGAGGGATGCTGTCAGGCTGAAGGAGTCCTATCGGGCCGTTTTGGCCTGTGGGACCCCGGAAGCAGCTGATGGGTACTGGCAGTCCAAGTGGCATGCAGCTTGGGTGGTCACTGAGGCAAAAACTCGGGCGTGGGAGGAGTTCTGAGAGGCCATGGAGAATGACTTCCGTATGGCGTTGAGGTGATTCTGGTCCACCATCCCCAGACTGGGGTGGTGGCCCCCCTATTCAAAAAGGGGGGCCGTAGCGTGTGTTCCAACTACGGGGGATCACGCTCTTAAGCCTCCCTGGTAAGGTCTATTCAAGGGTTCTGGAGAGGAGGGTCCATTGGATAATCGAACCTCGGATTCAGGAGGAGCAGTGCGGTTTTCGTCCTGGTCCTGGAACACTGGACCAGCTCTACACCCTCAGCAGGGTCCTGGAGGGTGCGTGGGAGTTTGCCCAACCAGTCTACATGTGCTTTGTAGACTTGGAGAAGGCGTTTGACCGCGTCCCTTGGGGAACGCTGTGAAGGGTCCTCTGAGAGTATGGGGTACCGGGCCTTTTTATACGGGCTGTTAGGTCCCTGTATGACAGGTGTCAGAGCTTGGTTTGCATTACCTGCAGGAAGTCGGGCTTGTTCCCAGTGAGAGATGGACTCCACCAAGGTTGCCCTTTGTCACAGATTCTGTTCATAACTTTTATGGACAGAATTTCTAGGCGCAGCCAAGGTGTTGAGGGGATCTGTTTTGGTGGCCTTAGGATCGTGTCTCTGCTTTTTGCAGATGATGTGGTCCTAATGGGTTCATCAGGTCGTGATCTACAGCTTTCACTGGAGTGGTTCGCAGCCGAGTGTGACGAGGCCGGGATGAGGATCAGTTCCTCCAAATCCGAGGCCATGGTCTTGAGCCGGAAAAGGGTAGAGTACCTTCTCTGGGTCGGGGAGCAGGTCCGGCCCCAGGTGGAAGAATTTAAGTATCGTGGGATCTTGTTCACAAATGAGGGAAAAATGGAGCGTGAGATTGAAAGGCAGACAGGTGCAGCATCGGCAGTGAAGCAGGCGCTGTACTGGTCTGTTGTGGTGAAGAGAGAGCTGAGTCAAAAGGTGAAGCTCTCAATTTACTGGTCGATCTACGTTCCTACCCTTATCTATGGTTAGGATGCCTTCTGGACGCCTAGAGGAGACCTAGAGGAAGACCCAGGACACGCTGGAGGGACTATGTTTCTCAGCTGGCCTGGGAGCGCCTTGGGATTCCCCGGAGGCGCTGGCCCAAGTGGATGGGAAAAGGGAAGTCTGGGCCTCTCTTCTTTGGCTGTTACCCTCACGACCCGACCCCGGATAAGCAGAAGAAAATGGATGGATGGATATTCTGCATGGTCTTTGTCAGTTTGACCTGCTACCAAATGCAGATGCCAAAAAGGGGCTGAAAATGATGTAACACTTCAACTTGGATTATGTTTAATGTCAAATTTATTCATGACATTTACTCTCTAACACAATGACAACACTCGAACAGTGTAAATTTGTAAATGTTCACAAATCTAAACTCAACCTGTTCACAAGCGACAAGTGAAAAGTGCACAAGTAGTAGTGCATTAATAGATATACTTGAGTTTAGTTTCTTAAATTTAAGAATAACTAAAAACACAAGCCTTTTATATCAGTGGTTTTTTTTGATGGAATGGCCCATGTCCAATATTTAACTTTCTCGCTAATACTGGCTGATACTGATACCATGCCGATAATATCGCACATCCTTTAAGTATACGTTTTGTATTTTGATAGTACTGTAGGTAGATCACTTGGACTTGGTCATTTTAAAAGTAGCTTGCATGCTGAAAGTGTGGGCACCCCTGAACCACAACAACTAAAACTTATTAAGAAACGCTTTTAATATAAGATAAACAAAGAATGAAATGTAAACTTACTCTGACCCTTGGTCTAGTTCAAGCTTACAAATAGCAGCAAGCTGAGCCATTTTGTTTGGAAAGTCTGTGTGAGATGAATCACCTGAGTGGAGAAAAACCTTGTGTTACCCCAATCTTTAAAAAAAGAACAGAAATCACTTTCTTTGACTAGTCATGTTTTCTGCTTACCAAGAGCACATTTGACAGGACTGCTGGGGGCAGAGTTGATCTTGCGTCGGTCGTCTTGAATACTCTTTGCAAGTTTTATGAGAGAGGGGTGTCGGGTGAATCTGCGTTTGCCTCCCGGTGAGGAAAAGAGGTTTTTGGCACAATTTTCTACAGAAGCACAAGACTCCAGCACTCTTTTCTTCTTGGAGGGGCATTTGAACGAAGGGTCTGTCACGTCTGAAACAGAGCATGAGACGATGACTCCAGCTGCAGTCAGCTCTCATAAATAATGCACGACGTACAAAACCAAGCTGAATATACAAAACATGAACGTGGAGGAAAGGCTTCTTTAATACCGTTAACTTGTGGAAATTCTTCAGGGCCAATCCACTCAAAAGCCGGTTTCCTTCCCCTCTCTTGGGTCACGTGGACTTTCTCGATGAGCTTCAGGCTCCGCAGAACATTAGCGATGTCGTACAGCCGCCGTACTTTGGCTGCAAACACAGAACCAATGAAAACAAATCCACCATAACTAGATAAAAACCAAAAACGCTTCCATATTCACTACACGTAAAACTATTTGATGAGCAACTGAAAGACTTTAACATTAGAAATACAAAGTTCTTCAAGCAACTAATGCACATGTTTGACATTTACAGAAAGATCTTTAAGCAAAACGAGCCCAGAGTTGCATTACTTGGACCAACTCGTGTAGGACTGAGAGGTCTGATAAATATCTGTTAAAGCTATCAAATATTTTACAACTGGGAAAATGGGCCTTTCTGCAGAAATGTAGTTTGAATGCTGAATGAAATGTAGTTAAAAAAGGTGAAAGTGAATTATATAATACAAGAACTTTCAATGTGAGTGGAAATGTTTGAAGAAAAGACAATTAGAAAAAACTAAATTGACAACTAGAAAAAGGAAGCACACGAAGCATACAGACAAAGAAATAAAAGGGTGCATTAGGAGACATAAAAAGGCTAAATCAAAGTTGAATATTGCAAAATTATATAAAAAAATATATATAAAGCTGTAATATGAATGAGCCGAACATTTTCATATCAAAATGGCTGAAATTGCTAAGAGTCCAGAAAACACACGTAAGATAAAGATCATATTAACTGTGAATTCTGCATCAGCATTCAGAAGGTGCAGGAAGTTATCTGATGGAACAACATCCAAGAAATGCAGATGCAGCCAGAGGGCGGAGGGTTCAGTGGCCGCAGGATTCCATCTCCGCTCTTTGCAGATGATGTGGTCCTTGTCCTGTTGGCGTCATCGTGCCGTGATCTTCAGCTCGCACTGGAGCAGTTCACAGCAGAGAGTGAAGCAGCTGGGATGAGAATCAGCACCTCCAAATCTGAGGCCACGGTCCTCAGTCAGAAAAAGGTGGATCGTTCTATTCAGGTCGAGGGTGAGGTTCTGCCTCAAGTGGAGGAGTTCAAGTATTCAAGTTCAAGTATAGTTCAGGGATTTGTTCATGAGTGAGGGAAGAATGGAGCATTAGATTGGGATTGGTGCAGCATCTGCAGTATTGCGGATTCTGTGCCGGTCCATTGTGGTGAAGAGGTAGCTGAGCTGTAAGACAAAGCTCTGGTTACCGGTCAGTCTACGTTCCCACCCTCACCTGTGGTCATGAGGTAGTGACTGAAAGAATGAGATCATGGATACAGGCGGTTGAAATGAGTTTCCTCCGCAGGGTAGCTGGACTCTCCCTTAGAGACAGGGTGAGAAGTTCAGTTATCTGGGAGAGACTCAAGAGTAGAACCGCTGCTCCTCCACATTCCTGGGCGCCTCCCTAGGGAGGTGCTTTGGGCACGTCCGACTCAGAGGAGAACCCGGAGAAGACCCAGGACACGGTGGAGAGACGTCTCTCGTTGGCCTGGGAACACCTTGGGGTCCTCCCAGAAGAACTGTGGCTGTGGAGAGAGATGTCTGGGCCTTCCTGCTCAAGCTGCTGCCCCCACGACCCAACTTCAGAACAAACGGAAGATAATGGATGGATGGAACAAGAATCATCTTCCTTCAGACCCCAGAAAGATTCATTTGTCAGAAGACGTAGACCTACATTTATATTTACACGCCAAAGAGAAAATGTTAGCATGATGGCTCATTTCATTTAGTGGTATAAAGTTTTCCCCTTTTCTCTTCTTTATGTTATTAACAGAAAACACTGAATTATGTCACGCTATCTGCAAGCCTGGCAACACGATGATACAATGGTATAATCTGTTAAGAATAAAGTTAGTGGCTGTCAGCAGACGAGACGTTTCAAATCTGAAGTCAGAACAAACCTAAAGTCGTTTTACTCAGAGACATATTTCAGGTTTCATGCTGCATTGCTGTTTCTAAACTCACTCTTGAACTTGTTCTTGTCTTGATCTGCAGCGTGGTCCTCTCCTATCAGGATCTTAGCAGCCATGTCCAGACTGACCACACGTGGGTTTGACACCAGGAAGAGCATGACGAACTTCTGGCTCATCACTCGCAGAGATTTGTCTTTCCTACTGTTAACGGAGGCTGGATGGAGAAAAGAGAAGGTCAGAGCAAGCAAAAAAACTTTCAGGTAACACAAAACTTGTTTGAATTGAAGCTAAAGCTCGTTTCTTGTTGCTTTTCACCTGCTTTGAACTCGACTCCTGGAAGCTCCACAAAGAAGAGCTCCTTCTGGCCTGGTTCGCTGCCGTCCACGTCGATCACCATCTCGTTCTCCTTCTCCTCCCCATCAAAGTCAAACTCTCTGTCCAGGCCTCGCTGCCGGATGTGCTGCATCTGCTGCCCGTACCTGTGCTCCTCACCCACCCGCTTCAAAATGGCCAGAGTCTCGGCCAGCTTGGTGCGGCCGTGCCACGTGTAGCGGTTCTTTGCCGAGCGGCTCACCATGTGAAGGCTCTCCAGCACGTTCATGATGTCGTAGATGCGCCGACGCTCCACGTCTGTGTGGTTACATGAACAGAAAACGATTAACAACACTGCAACAAAGGGTTAAACCTCTTTTAAAGTAGTACGTTATTAGAATGGATTCAAATCAACATAATGAAATATATGAAACATTATCAAGGCAGAAAAGAAAAATCTAAATATGTCACGAAGCACTTGACTGATTTTAATTCAACTTACAGAAACTGATTAACTTTTGGAGTCGTCACAAATCAAAAACACTAAAATGACTAAAGCTCTGCCAGTTTACAGATGTTAACCTAAAATTAGGCGACATATTCAGAGTACCAACAAAAGGAACAAGGCTTTGAAACGTTGCTATTAATTATTTGGAGTCAATTCTGTCTGCAGGTTAGCAAAATAATGTTCACGTATGGAAGGATTTAAATAAAACTTTCAGGAAATTATGGTGACATGCACATCTACAACTAATTTACTTTTGGAGTCAAACAGATTAAAGTTGGCCTCCACAGCCGACCATAACAAAAACAACATAAAAAAGGAAGCATACTGAGCTTAGTGGCCACATCATCCAGGCAGATGTCACTGTGGGCCGAGTCTGGATAATCTGGGTATCGGGCGAGAAACTTGTGACAGAGCAATCCCAGACTCTTGTCTTTTCTGCTGATCATTTTCTCAGACTCTTCTCCATTTTCAGAGTCCTACAGAAAAACACACGGTTAGAAAACATCCCATAGACCACCTTGACTTATGAGGGGTCATGCCAGGACACATACCTGGGTGGGGTAGAGACCATCCCGCTCATCGTGGTCCACACACAGTTCTTTCTCTCGGTTCCTGATCTCAGGACTAGCAGCACTGATGAGCATTTTAAGGTTGGAGGTTGGTGTCCAGGGATCAACAGAAGCTACTTCCCTTCCCTTTTTAGGTGTAGTGAAAGGCCCCATGGTCAGCCACTTATCCACTGGGACCAAACCAGTTGATTTCTCTGAAGGGTTCATCACATCATCATCCTAGTGAAATAAAAATAAATTATACATTTTAAAAGATAAACTCATCTTTACCTGACACACATTTTCTGCATTTACTGACTTGTACGGTTTACATTAACACCAAGATAATAGAATAAAGTCCATTATTTAACATTATTCTCCTTTGCATAGGAATTTGACAAAGTTTATGGCTACTATTATTTAATCATGAATTTGAGCCCACATTATTTAATAAATCCACTCATTGTAGCACACATCCATTAAAAAGCATTCATTAATTTCTAATTTATACATTAAAAAAACTTCCTCACCATATTGTAGATTGAACAGGACTAGTAGGCTGCTTTATGTACATTTTTTATATATGAAGTTTTTTTAATAGTGATTTGAAAATTTTTATTTGCTACGTTATTCTTTCATTTGTATAAATGTTAAATTTAATTATAAAGTAAGTTTAAAAGTAACGAAAATGACAAGCTAATATTGGCGGTAATTGACCAAAATTCCAACGAATCACGGGGCTCAACGGACGAGAAGATCCCGCCCTTTGTGCCCGAATCAGCCAATGGGAACGCGGCATTAGACAGCGGAGGGGAAATGGAGTGTCCCGCGCAGGTAAACAGTTTTTGAAATGCTTGGCGCGGACCATCCGTTCACTGTCAGAGGCGGGTTGTTTTACACGTTTATAACTATTTGATAACGAATAAATGAAGTTTAAAAATATAGAAGCTGATATAGTCTAAAGGAGGCACAGTTTAACATAAAAACGCAGTAAAACCAGTTTGGCTAGAAACGTTTCACACATCAACCGCTCGAAACTTTGCCTGTCAACTTCAACCGAACCTGCTTGGACGGTGAATTAATAAGTCGCAGTGAGCTGGCGATGACATAAAAACATGGACTTCAATTAAACGACGTAGTGTTGACTTTAATTTGATTCACAATTGCGATGAACCACTTACCAAAACCGGGAAGGTCACCCTTCCTCAGAGGATTTCCATCTTACCAAGTAGAGCTTCCAAAATGAAGTTCCAGCCAGTATAACGCGTTTTTTAAATGGACGGGTCTGTCCCCACAGAGGCTAAGTGAACATGAACTCTGTAAACCTGAACAGAAAATGTCCGCGGCTGTCAGTCTGACTCCCCCCTTCCCAACAAGCCTTGATCAACTTTACTTTGTTGGAAAAGTTTCCTCAGTTCGATGACCACCACAGCAGTTGCCCCGCCCAGTTCGAGCATGCGTACTGACGTCAGCACGAAACCGGCGCGCAACACTTCTTCCGTCTGGAGAAAGAGGCGGGGCCTAATCAGAATTACGTCAGTCCCTTATCTCTCATTTCTGTGCACAGACTCGCTCACAGGCTGTGCGTGATTTACATTTGTGCAAGTTAGAAGCCACCCCTAATTTATTTATGCTTTCAGTCTAAAAAGCCAATTTATTTGACCTGACTGAAAAATGTTGGATTATTGAGCATGGACTTTGTTGTTTAAAACCAGTTTGACATGGACTTTGTTGTTTAAAACCAGTTTGACATGAACAAGGGCGTCAGAAGCATCCGTAATGTGGGGGTGTGTGTTGGGGGGGGGGGGGGGGGGCACAATGATGTGTGTGTGTGTGCAAGGTGTTCACTAGTGTACAAAAAAACAACATTTCACCTAGATTTCCTTTAAACACATTTAAAACATGTTTCTCACCAAGTTTGTGTAAATTCATCTGTGGGTTTTAAAGACATTTTAACTTTAATACACTTTAATACAGAGCGTCAGATCTGAACTATTTGTCTTTATAGAGAAATAAAAACCATCACCACTAGACATTTTTACTTGTGTTCAACACGACTCATCTAAATGATGTTTCTCATGAAGCTTGAGGACAATAAGGTGTGGGGTTTTAAAGATACTTCAACTTTAATGCACCTGAACACACAGCGTCTGCAGCGTCTCACAGCCTCACAGTTACTGCTAAGCTAACATGCTACAGACGTAGCGCTCCTCTCAAGCATCCTCCTAACATGAATATATGTTGATGATCAACCCCCTGGTCAACCACTGCCCACACTAAGCTGCTAAACTGGCGAGCGAGCAACACAGAGGTATCTCCTCTATATACACACATCCATCCATCCAACCATTATCTTTACCTGTTTCTTCCTTTTAGGGTCACGGGGGTCACTGGTGCCCATATCCAGCAGTCACTGTATGAGAGGCGGGGGACACCCTGGACAGGTCTCTAGTCCATCACAGAGACACATAGAGACAATTAGAGTTACCAATCAGTCTAACATTCATGTTTTTGGTCTATGGGGGGAAACTGGAGTACCTGGAGAAAACCCACGCATGCACGGAGAGAACATGCAAACTCCAAAAGTGCTGCCCTAGACTGGGAAAGTTATAAAAACATGTTGTTTACGACTGGCTGAACTCTCCCCAGAAGTGCTGCATTCTTTCTTTTACTTTCTGAGGTAACTCATTTACTCGTTGCCCCCCCCCCCCCCCTTTTTTTTTTTTACATTTTCACATTCTTTTTTTAAGCGTGCTCATGTATTGTATGATGCATTGTACTAAAAGGTTTGTTGTTTATGCTCAGAGTTAAAACTGAATAAAAATGAAAAAGAGAAACCGAGGAATGACTCTATTTTTGCACAAACTGTCTTTTTAAAACTAAGAAGTTCAACTCCTGCAAACTCCACATATCATGTCTGTGTTTCGACACAAGGGGACGCGAGAGCACTCCTCATCAAATATCACCATGGCAACCAGCCGCCGCCTTCAAGGATGCTGAGAAAAAAACAGACGTCAGTGAGAAAGAGAGTGATGGGGTGGGGGCAAAGGGTTGATGATGCATTCAGGTGCTGTTTTGAAATATGGTTTACATTGCTTAACAGTCAGACCCATCTACAGAGGTGTTCTTTTAAAAAACAATAATTATCCTGTTTTTATATACAGAAAAGAAAAATATATTTTTTCTTCTTTCGACTGAGTTATGGATGTATTTTATTTCCAAAATTATTAATCTGGATGTAATAAATGATTTATAGGATTTTAAAGATAAGTGGCCCACCGACAGAGAGGAAACTGGTCAAGTCTGTACCTTCTCCGATTTAAGATTTGTGACAGGTATTTGCAAGACTACTACAAAAATAAACGCTTAAATAAAAAAATGCACATTGCCAGGCATGAAAAACTGTGCTTTCTGTAAACATAAATTCACTAAGAACAACAAAAGCAAATGAAAGAAATTTTACTATAATCACGACAACAAATCAACAATATACTAATACATGCTTTATTTATATTTCTTTTTTGTTTGTTTAACTTGACATGCAAAGTGTTAACTTGAGCGACAGTTCCTAGCAGCTGATATTACCGACAGTCCGTGAACGCGTCAGCGTGCTGCTCCGCTCGCAGCAGCAGGGGCGGACAGCAGCGCCTCACACGAGCCGGGAGGGGAGCGTCTCCACCGGGCAGGGCGAGACGCAGAGCTCCGCTGGGTGAGCATGTCCTTACCTCACACGCGCACGCCTCTAATTCGTGCTTCTGCTGCATGTTTGTTTGAACGTCGCTGAGTTGGAGAGCTCAGAGGGTCAGCGCATCCTGCAGGGATGCTGCTGCTGCACGAGCTCCTCAAACATGCACGAGCAATTTGTTCCGACTGGAACTCTGGAGGTGTTGGTCCGGGGACAGGTCGAGGCGTCCGCAGTTTAATCTGCCTTAAATGATACCTGTGAAATAAAACGCACAGCGCGTGGCAACAACACAACTTTAACACGTTTTGATGACTTTTGTCTGAATTAATCTCGAAAATTAACGATTTGAATTAAAGTTTAAAGCGAGTCGCTGCAAACTGGAAAGTAAAACGTGAAAAAAAAATGCTGTTCTGAACTAAAGGATGCAGTTTGAAACTGATTACTCCAGTAGTTTTACAAATATTTTGGTATGCAATATGCGGGTATGCACTCACTGTAAACAAGACACTCAGCTCAGCTGAAGCCTCCTAAAACCAAGGAGAAGCTGGAGCCAGGTGACTGACCTCCACCAGGATGGACTGCTGAATTTTACACACTGGTTGTATCTAGAATAATCAGGTGAAATGCATCAAGCCCATTTAATGCAAAATGTTACAACTGCATACTTTACTCAACAAATCTGAGCTTAAGGACATCAACATTGTCCGACCTCTCCGTCCCAAACAGCATCAGTGTTGTTGTCCTATTGCTTTTTCTGTATGTAAACAAACACGTGCTGTTCATAAACTTTGCTTATAGATATTTCAATGCAAGGACATTGGTCTGAGAGACATTTGTGTGGATTTGTTTCAATCAGGTCTTCATGAGAACCTTTAACTGTCTCCGTCACGATTTCTCAGTTTTGATCTTATAACGCAGAAAGCTGCTGAGAAACTAAATCCTATATTTGTTTTGCAGAAGTGAACAGATTGGATCTGCAGGAGGACAGGAGCGGATCAGGATGATCACAGCATCCGTCAGGATCAAATGTCCTCAGCAGCTGTGATGTTTCCTGAACAGCGTTTCCTCCTGGTTAGGCTTTCCCTTCCCTGTCCCGATGCCCGCGTCACGTCGGCCCCTTAGGACCAGCAAGCACAAAGAGAAACCCCCCAGAATCATCATGGCTGAGGCGCAGCACAAGTCTGAGGTTGGATCCCTCCAAAGACTGGGCGTCATCTTTTTAATGAGGCAAAGTTGATGGACAGAACGCTCTTCCTTCCTGCTTTTGGACGTTCATGCTCTGTAACTGGGAGCAGGGTGGGAAGGGAACTGAAATACTCTGAGCAGGTATTTCTCTTGGTTCCCTGGAAGGTTTCCTTGTAAAGGCTGGATATTTAGCTGTGGGAGGACCTCGTCTATGGGAAGATGGAGGCAGGAGCAGAGGGCAGCCCGCATCAGCACCAGAGGAGGAAGCCTGTGCTGCATGGACTGGAGGATCAGAAAAGGGTGA